TTTTTTTTTTTTTTTTTTTTTTTTTTTTTTTTTTTTTTTTTTTTTTTTTTTTTTTTTTTTTTTTTTTTTTTTTTTTTTTTTTTTTTTTTTTTTTTTTTTGTTGAAAAATAGTTCTTCCGAATAATATTTTTTAATGCGTAATTTCTATTTTACAGTATAATTTTTATTAAAAAAATGTAAACCAAAAACTTATACTTTGTTTATTATATAGAAATACAACATACATGCATACATATACATACATGCATACATATGCATACATACATATATATATATATATATATATGTGGGAGGATTCGATTTGCATTAGTGGGTGCAGCTTAGTTGGGCTCTGCTCCAGAAGAAGAAAGAACATGCTCGGACCGCAATGTCTCTGAAGGCGAATTCTTCACAAATGTCCAAGCAATGCGTTCACCAATCGTTAAATCTCTGTACGTTACTAACCCATTTTCACGTTTCTGTTTGCCCATTTCGATTCCTTCTTTTTCTGCTTTGAATTCGGCCACTACCTCCTTTAATCCCTGTTGTTCCGAATCCTTCTGCTCTCATGCCCACCAACTGTTCGATGAATTGCCTCAAAGAGATATTCCCTCACTTACTTCCCTTCTCACCTCGTATGTGCGTGGTCATCGCCACTCAGACGCCTGGTCTCTCTTCCGTCAAATGCACCGTTCCTGCTCTCCTCTCACAGCCCACACTCTCACTGCTGCCTTGGCTGCCTGCTCGGCATTACCCACCTCCGATTATGGCCAACAAGTTCATGGGCTAATCATCAAAACAGGTACATATTCCGGGATTGTAACTAAAACTGCCATTTTAGACATGTACTCCAAATGTGGGCTTCTTGATCACTCTGTTAAGGTCTTTGAGGAGATGGAATTGAAGGATGTGGTTGCATGGAATGCGTTGTTATCCAGCTTTTTGAGGGAGGGTCTTGCTGGGAAAGCACTAAATGTGTTTGAAGAAATGAAGAGAGAAAAAGTGGAATATAGTGAGTTTACTTTGTGTTCTGTGCTTAAAGCTTGTGCCGCTTTGAAAGATTTTCAGCTGGGTAAGCAAGTTCATGGGATGGTTGTTGTTATGGATAGAGATATGCTTGTTTTAGGTACTTCCTTGGTTGATTTCTACTCTAGCGTTGGCTGTATCAGTGAAGCCATGAAAGTTTACACTAGTTTAAATTGTACAAAGGATGATATCATGCTTAATTCTTTAATTTCTGGGTGTGTTGTGAATAAAAAATATGAAGAAGCCTTTTCATTGATGAGCAAGATGAGACCTAATGCAATTGCACTAACAAGCGCCCTGGCTGCTTGCTCTGAGAATTCTGATCTATGGATAGGGAAGCAAATACACTGTGCTTTGGTCCGTCATGGTATGGCATCCAATACCCAATTGTGCAATACTTTGCTTGATATGTATGCAAAATGTGGGAAAATTTCGAATGCTCGAATAGTGTTTGACGAAATGCGTCATAGAGATGTAGTATCATGGAGCAGCATGATACAAGCATATGGAAGTCATGGAGATGGGCTAAAAGCTTTCGAATTGTTCAAGATGATGGTTGATGGAAAAACTGGAGTGTTGCCAAATTCAGTGACATTCCTTTCTGTATTATCCGCTTGTGGGCATTCAGGGCTGGTGGAACAGGGACAAGAATGTTTTTATTTGGCAAAGGAGAGGTATAGTTCATATCTAGGTCCTGAACACTATGCCTGCTTCATAGATATATTAGGCCGAGCTGGTAAGATTGAAGAAGTATGGAGTGTGTTCCATGATATGGAGATGTGTGGCGTTAAGATTACATCAAAACTATGGGCAGCATTGCTTAATGCTTGTAGTCACAACCAAGATGTTTCCAGGGGTGAGTTTGCTGCTAAAAGACTGCTTCGATTGGAACCGAACAAGGCTGGGAATTTCGTGTTGGCATCGAATTTTTATGCGTCGATAGGAAAGTGGAATTCTGTCGATGAATTGAGGAGAATCATGTGGGAAAAGGGACTGAGTAAGGAAGCTGGGAATAGCTTGGTCAGTTCTTCTTGCTTCTAATGCAGCAGATGAGAGAATTGGCTGAGTTTTTAATGCAGAAAAAGAAGAAACGCCTGATTGTTGGCTGAAGCATCAAGTTTAATGCCACTCATTGTTGATCAAGCCTGCAACGAACATGTCCTGTGGCTGAAGATATGCAAATTTTGTTGTGCTCTGTTCTTCAGGTATGTAAACCTCTTCAAATTGAATTTCCTCTTTGTTATGCTTGTGAAAGATAAATTAATAAACTATTTTTGCATGCGGGCTGGTTTGCGTATTACCTCATACACACGAGACTTGCCCGCGACCTTGCTAGGGCAAGTTGACTCATGTGTCAATAACATAGGGTTAAGATAAACTTTGGAAAACTTAAACAAGTTAAGTACAACCTAACCCTACATTATGGTACGAGAGGCTTAACTCATAGGCTTAACTATACCCCTAGAGTAGGAGTGTATAGGGTTTAAGTACCTATGAACCTTATAGGCTAGCATAAACAGTAAGTCATGACATTTGCTAATTTTAGAGTCGGTATATGATCACATAGCTTAAAAAATCATGGTAAGGATTAAGTCCAACGAGAGCCTATATGTAGGCTGCTTACTAGGCATTTTTATGTTCATCTCATGTTATTCTATTTGTTTTAGATGGAGTGTAGACTACTCTCGATGATAAGAGAGTGCAGTGTCGTGTGTCTGCAGGGGTGCCCTTTAGATCAAATCGTCTTCCTTGTCAATTTAATATTACATCAAATGTTGCTTTTGTATATTTTTGCAAACTGTTTTGATTTGACTCCGTTGATACTATTTTGTAATTTTTAATTAATTTTATGTCCAATGCACGTTTGAATTCTAAGTTTCTTTGTGTCTCCCATTATACAATTTGAAAAACTTTATTGCCCTTTTTACCCTTGAGTCTACGTGACGATCTGTGATTCAAGGCATCGAAGAACAGGTCGTTACAAGTTATCCCTTAGACTCGTTCTTCTCCAAATCCTAATAAAAATCCCGAGGAAAATGGTACACTTTTTAAAGATCAAACAAAAAGGATATTTCCGAGTTGGATAAGAGAAAAGAAGAATGGGTGTTGGTTGATTGAAGTATCTCCTAAAGCTTTACATAAAAGTGAAGACTTCCCACTTGGGAATCAAAGCACCTTCTCTTAAAGCACATTCCTTCTTCTCAAGTTTCCACCATTAACTAACTTCTCTCTTTCATTCTCAAAGATAATGAAAGTTTAGGTAATGGTTGAAAACACAGATATATATATATATATATATATATATATATATGTATGTATATGTATATATATATGTATATGTATATGTATATATGGATGAAGGTTGAGTGGATAAGGAATCAATGCCAGTTTAAAATTAGGTTAATGTCATCAACATTAGGAAATACAAACAAAAGTTGAAGATGATTTTTATACCTAAAAATGACTAAAAGTTATGAACAACAATGACCCATCTTTTGCTCTTTTTTCTTTCTTTCTTTCTAATGGTGATTAACATGAAAGCATCTCTTCACTTTCAAGCTTTTATTTCAATTCCGCATTTTTATTCTTTTGTTATATTACCCGTTTAATCTTCGTGATTTTGGGTGTCATGGTTCATTGTCCAAATTGTCTACTTTCGACATTCATCTGCATGTTTTACTTTTAGCATCACCCAAAAAACATTATACTTCAACGGGCACATTTTTCAGCGAAGCAGCTCGACCAACCGACAGGAGGTTTAACCAGAATAAGCTTTCAGGACTTGGCCCTTCGTTGAAGAGCACATTTTGCATATGTAGTAATGTACTTTAGAAGAACTAAATGTATGAAATTAAGGACTTTTTTGATATTATTGAGATGAGTGTGTTTACAATATAAATTACTTTTTTTTTATTATTAAAAACGTTAAAAGTCACCTTGATAGGAATATAACTTATTCAATAATTCATGTTAAGGGTAAGGAACTTTGGAAGAACTAATGCGAAAGGGTGTAAGTCTCATCGCTTGAAAATACTCAGTGCTGACCATATTGAGAGAGATGAAAGGGCAGGTACAGGTACGAAAAGAGAGGCTGTGATGATATCATCTACAATTGTACCACTCCTCGTGGAGTAGATCTTGCATCCAACCAAGTCTTTGACTAGGGTACGGGAGAATTCCCACCACCGTTGGACCGTGAGCGCAATGGGAACAGGCTTCCCAAAAAGTCAATATAGAGTCAGAGTCGGAATAGAATGAAGGAGACGACCCTAATATTGTGTTGTCAAAGTCAACTTCTTGGGTTGCGAGCCGAGAAGAGCGAACATAGACTCGGTTCAGAGCGCAACGTAACTAAGAGAGTCATTCCATTTAGAGCAAACTCGTGTGGTTATAGGAGCGGACATGGGGACACGGTTCAGGGCACAACGTAACTAAGAGAACCATTCCATTTAGAGCGAGTCAGTATGGTTATGGGAGCAGACACGAGCGATTTGATACCAGACCCAATTGGTCAAACGACAATTGAATGATTGATGCGATGAAATTAAGGATGAAAGTGGAATAAATTTGAATTTTTATGATCAAAATTGTAGAATTTTTTGATACAAAATAAATGTATGAAATTAATAGAAGGTAGGTTTCTTGTAAGGGAGTACAAAAATTCAGATGAATTCCTTTGACCAAAAAAATGTCAGAATTTACATCTTCCCCATGCACCCAATATAATTGCATTAAAAAAACATTTCAATAATTTGATCAACATACAATAAGAAGAGGAATGTTGACACGTGTACGGCTAGATGATATTACTTGAGTGGGTCCCTTTAGTGACCATCGGCGGTGGTGGTTCGTCAGAAACTTCTATCTCAGACTACTCAAGACACAGCCTTCTAAACCCTAATTAAACCTACTCTCTCTCATCTGTAGAGAGAGAGAATAACACGTGGCGTTTAATGAGGATATGGTGCATCAAATTTCGGTGTGGCTTTCGTGTACACTAACAAACGCAGCACTACAAACGTAGGGCGGATCTATTTTATTCACAATTTTAAGTTTTTTTTTTTTTTTTTGTTATTGGACAAGAAAATAAAAAATAAAAAATTTATGAATTATCGGTTTCAATTTTTTTTAATTGGATTATGAACTTATTTTATAATTTAAGTTTAATAAATATATATTATTTATTCAAACTCTTTAAAAAGGTAAAATTTAATTAAATGTTTGAAAATAAATAAATATTTTACTTTCATGAAAAATAAAAATTTAATAATTGATTCAAATCAATAGAACCAACGTAACTAAAATGGTTATTTTGATTGAAAAATTTATAACTCGATTAATTAGATTAGGTCTAAAAATGTCTCAATCGTACCTAATCCCAACTCACAAACTCGTGAATCATTAGACATAAAATATAATTTTATATTTATTAAATTAAATAATTTTTAAAAATTTTAAATTTGAAAATGGAAGGAATAATGGGGAGTAACTTATATATATATAAATAAATAAATAAAGTAATGGGTAGTACAGAATTGAATTAAATATTGAAAAATAATGAAATAAGTATATAATTAATTAAGGAATGAAGCTACGACAAGGCTGTGACCAATAACAATACTTTCAAATTTTAAATTATTTTTTTTCTTCATATTTAAATAAATCTACGAGAATGTGAAATTACTAAATTACCCATGTGTGGTTTGTGGGGACAGGTTCGATTCTGTAAAACCCATTAGTTATAGTAAAACATGGTTGAGATTTTTACCATGAAAGATTAAAATTAGTTTACTGTTAATAAATATTGTTCGTTTTAACTTGTTACTTATCACCGTTAACCTCACGATTATAAAACGAAGAGGTGTTCATACTCGGATCGGTTCGTGGCACACGATTTTGAACATGGCGTGCGTGTTAAGGCAAAGACTGAGAAAAATCATCTCCATTTGCGTGCATTACATTACACCTTCTTCTTCTGTGTTCCTCACCCGCACTGACACACACACACACACACACACACACACACACTTATTAATTATTTAATTAAATAAATAAAGAAATAGACACCACGTGATCCAACCCTCCACATGATGGGAGCAGCTTCCAAGATCTACGGCTGCGATTCACTGACATTCATAACTACACCCTTTGTTTACTTCTCATCTTACTCCCATTTTCTACCTTCCCTCTCCCATATTTAATAAAATAACGACATACATAATTGAATTCAACGCTCAATTCGAACGAGAATAATTTTTAAAAGTTTAAATTTTACATCGGTTAGGGAGAAGAACGAAACATTTTTTAAAACATCTTCATAACAAACGTATTTTACAAACCTTGAAGGAAAACCCGAGAGGAAGAATCTAAAAAGGACGAGTCCAAGATCGTAACGAAACCCTCAATTATAAGACCTCGAAAACGGAACGTATTTGACGAATTTAAGAATGGGTTTGGAAGGGTGTGTTTGAATGGTTCGTGGGTCAGTAGTTGATATGGTCAAGAATCTAACAAATTGTTTTTTTTTTTTTTTTTTTAATAAAAAAGAAAAGTGAAAATATTTAATTTGGTTGGAAAATCCACGTGGATAACGCCCATTGATTCACGGCTTTCTGACCGTGATCCAGATAATTGGCGATTAAGACCTGGGACGACAGACATGTCTGTTTCTATTCCAATTTTGAAGCCCACATTTTTTTATTTATTTTTTATTTACTTTAATTCAATTTTAATTTATTCCATAAAAAAAAATTACTTTTTTCATTCTGTCTCTCACTTACAACATTTTATTATTCTTTATTTTTTGTGGAAATATATTATACTATTTATGTGCATTATCCTCATTTTCACCGCCTTCAAATTTAATTTAATAAAATTTATGAATATTTTTATAATTTAACTATTTTTGTAAATGTAATTACGATCGACTAATTAGATACGTTCACCACTAAGATGTGAACGAAGAAGTGTTTCTCGTCTCTATCTATACGTAGAAATTCGGATAGTTAGCTAAATTTTTTCCCATTCTAGCCTTTTTATATTTCTGTTTAAAAAAAAAATTAATGAATAATTTCTATTTTCGGGTAAATTATAATTTTAAAAATTTTAATTTGTAATATGTAACTATGTGTGTATCTAAGAATTTATCGAAAACGAGAACCGATAATATAATATCATATATTAAAATAAGCAAGATGGGCAAATTGGTAATTTGGTAGAGACGGGATAGAAAATATAATCCATCTACAGTCTCCGAGCTACTTTGCTCCGTCTCCCTATAAATATCCCCCAATTATCCACGCCCAAGCTTCACTTCTCTCATTTTCTTCAACATTCTTCAAAATTTCTCTCTGAAATCAGGCGCCCAATCTCTTGAATCCTGCGACAATTTCTGTTTCTTCCCTTCGATTTTTCAATTTCCGAATGGATTTCTTCTTCTTCGACAAAGCAGAGAAGGTTTCAAGCTCTGTTCCGAGATGCAATCTCCTCCAACTCTTCGCCAAGTTCTTCCGTTTCGTCGAGTTCTGCTTTCTACTGGTTTTCCTCTCATGGACTCTCTCTAGGCTTCCAATCGCCGTCAGAATCTCCGGCGAGTATTTCGGAAAACTCCTCGGCTTCATCGCGAGTCCTCTCTTCGGATTCCTCCTCTGCAATGCCATCATCGTTGCACTCGTAGCAAAACCTAGCCAATTCTCAGGCCACAGCGCCGAAACCGAACGGATTTACGAAAACCTAATTGAAAAATCCGGAAGCAACGACCTACCTGATTCGCTCGCGGAACGCGATTCTTCAATCGCAGAGGACGTGGAGA